TTACCAGTTTTCCTATTGCCTTTTTTTTATTCATAAATATATATATATATATATATATATATATATATATATATGTGTGTGTGTGTGTGTGTATGTCAGTACATTTTGTCAATTTTATACACACACACACACACATGTATGTATATATATGTGTGTGTGTGTGTATTTATGTGCATGTGTGAAGAAGGAATCTCTTCCATGTGGTCTGTGTGTGTAAATATACATTGACATATATATATGTGTGTATATATATATATATATATATATATATATATATATATATATATAATATACAGCGATATAATGAAAATATTTTTAAAAAATTACAACAAAGATTTTACATCGAAAACAAGTTGCATAATCAGTCACATATATAATAAACCAAACGGTAAACTATTTTTTTTTTTTGAAGGAAGAAAAGTAGACTTTTCGAAGAAGGAGTTATTATTGAACGTTCGGCTGGATAAACGTGAATGGTTGCCTTTAGCTCTTCTTCCTTCTACAAGGCGACAAACAAATCTTTCCCCGCGTGTGCGTAACAAAGAAAATTCCTGAATATAACGAGCATTTTCTTATTCGACTACAATGGCACAGACAAATAATATCTTTAACAAGTTATAGAAAACAACGGGAAAAATAGAATGTTTCGTACAAATGTTTGGCTTGGCGTCGTAAATGTTAGTATAGATAATTACTAATTTTAACTCAGTCATGATTATATCTCAGTTGCGGTGAACCCCTGTAGAGAAAACTTGTTTTATTTGCTCAGTAAGCAATTGCATTAATTCAGGACGTTCGCGATTATGGCTATCCACGATTTCCTATTCTTTGTACCTCTAATCTATGATAGTCCTCTTAATATCCCTCCCTGTTCATGTTCAGTCGACCAAGCTCTTTAGATGGATTACTCTCTAATTTAATATGCCCTGTGAGTGTAAAATTCGCTAAGCCCCTTTTCTTCATTATGCGTCCCAGACATTTTGCGATGCTATTTGCTGCTACCGTAAAAAAAAATATAGGAAAGTTTTCTTATGGACAGAAAGAGCGATATACTGAAAGAGTTTGAAACAAGAAGGGTAAATGCATTGAATCCGTGGGAATGATTGACGACTTAATTCACATATAGACGACATCTGGAATTGGTGTGTCGTGGGCTTGAACAATGGAAAATGACCCAGACTTAGAGTGCAATGATGATTAACATGTGTTCTACGCAGCTGAAAATGCAAGCTGTCAAGCGAAAATTTCATTTTCGTAAACAACGAATTTGAAGTTGATTTCACCTGGTCAAAAGGCGTGAATCCTCTTCTGCTCCACATCTATGGGTAAATAGTGGGACAGACTGGGTTCTATAAACTTGGATGGCAACTAGACTAAAGCAGAAAGAAATGGCAACCAACTGCGGGGAAAAATCTACCTCGACAGTCATATATCTAAAAATAAATGATCGCCTAAGCGTCTATCACGCATGGCACATAACTGACTGGTTTCGTTTTTGTTCAATTTAGTTGTGTGGTATTTTTTTTTCACCCGGCTTGGACCAGTCCGGCAAGAAGTTGCCTGCGACGATTCGATCTTGTCCTCTTTAAACTTAAATCTCAATGTGGGATATGGCTGGTCTGAGATCGAAGCGATCTTCATCGATCAGCCGCAATGTTAGGAGTCTTCGGCGACCGGGGAGGGTGTTGTACGATTACAATTTCAACTATTTCCTTCCGATCGTAAGCAGAGGAGACTTTTTCATTCCGAACTTTCTTAAAAGTTACTCGTTGTTTACATACACATCCCATTAGTATTCTTCTATAAAACCTTAAGTTAAGCAACGTCGAGCCTGGTGCGTACCAAGGTAGATGACTGCTTGGGAATACTAACCGGTTTTGTAGGCTTGGATGTGAGGGAGGTATAACGGATAACGACTCGGAATTGGAAATCAGAGTCGGGTTTGTTATATTTACTTACACGCAACTACCATTGGCAAAAGTATGATTTCACACCTTTTTGCACCCCTATCTATGAGTTAATTTGTAGGACTTGTGTCAGTAAATGTTTAGTATCTCCCAAAAAATCTTTACGATCAAAAAAAAATATTATATCTTTAAATTAACTGTAAAATATTGATAAGCCGTAAAAAGCAAGCAAGCAAATTACTGAATCTGTAAAACCATCTATTTCTTTTCTTTCTATCTTTCTTTCTTATCTTTGTTTTTTCCTTCATTTCGTTTCTTATAATCTTCCTCCTTTGTTAAATTGTTCTTTCTTTCTTTCTTTCTTTCTGTATTTATTTATTTCTTTTAAATATTACCTTTCTTTTCACCCCCCCTTTCATTTAACTTATAATTTCTTATTTCGAAGTTAATAAATTCTTTCTTTCTTTCGTTTTTCTTTCCTTTTTATATCTTATCTTTATTTATCTTACCTTTCTTATATTTCTCCCCTTTCCTTTAACTTATACTTCTTTCTTTGGAAGTTAATACATACATACATACATTCTTTCTTTCTT